GGGGGGGTGCACCTGAAGGACAGTGGCTCTCAGTGGGGGAAGCAAGAACCCTGTCCCAGCTACATTTAATAAACAGCCTGGCTTACTTCCTGACCTGTATGATGGGCCAGAATATAACAGCACAGAACATTACAATCCTTGTTTCTGCCTTGCCTCAACCAGCTACTGCCTGCTGCTCTGTGTCTACTCTGTTCCCCCAACCCGGGAGGTAAAGGAAAAATATTCTTCAGGCCCACAAGATACTATTTCTTTCCAGTCTGCAAAAGGTTGCCCCGCCAAATCCAATACTTCAAATGCTGGGACCCATGCAAATACCAAGGTGCTAGCCCTGCACTTCGTCTCTCCTTGGTCTCCCCTCCCTTGGATCTAGCCTCACCTCCTTCCAATTCTCTGCTAATTCACAGGGTAGAGCCAGGGACACAGGCCAGACTGGCACAGAGTCTATACAGGTGAGACCTGTAAGTCAACTTTTTGACCTAACGGCTCTCAGTCAACAGTCATGAGGGATCTAGCTTTGAGTCAGTGGGATTTCCAGCCATCAGTATCAGGCTAAACAGTAAATCCATACAAAGGGCAGCCCAGGCTGGCCATGAATACACATTCATGTCCTTTAACCTCAGTCCTTCAGAAAGTAACATTTCTAATTCAAGTGCCACCTCTTCCAGGAAGCCTTCCCTTATTCTGCTAGTAGCAATTACTCTTCATCTGCTGTCCTGCAGTATTATGTTTGTACTTAAGTTATAATCCTTTTAAGCCCTCACTTCATCCTGCCTTGCACACATCTACCTCCCTACATAATTGCTAGATCTTTAGGGCACAAACCCCACCTTATTCATCTTGCACCTCCCCATGCCTCCTAGCACAGAGACTTGCTCGCCGTAAGCATCAGTAAATGCTTACTGCATTGGACTAAACTGACTTTATAAATCCCAGAGAAGGATCAAGGAGGAGGCAGCAGTGCTCAGGAAATAATTAATCACGGGTTGATCAACATTTTTTCCTCTCCAGTCCCTCCCCCAAACCAGCTGCGGCCGGTCCTTCCTGAGCCTGGCCTGCTGAGAAGCCTCCTAAGAAAGAATGTGGCTTCCTCTGTCTTCCTTCTGGAGGGATTTGGATGGGTCACATTTCAGGGGGGTAGAAGTAGGGCCCCAAGACCGAGAGGGACAGAGCAAATCACACAGCCGTCTAGTGGCTGTCCTGGAGAACTCTGGCAAGCACAAGGACCTCCGCCTTGCAGAGGAGGAGGGAAAGGCAATTCCTGTGATGCCAGGGCTCCAGAGAGGCTCCCCATGGGCAGGGCTGGAGAGGGCTGGATTCTAAGATGGCAGAGATGTGCAGCAAGGTGGGGGCACAGGGCCGCTCTTGCTATTCACAGATGAGCCCCAAAGGCTGCGGAGATGGTGTGACCCCATAGAAATCACTCTCAAGTCATTGTGGAAGTGTTTGTGTCTCAAGACGTTAGGCCAGGACGTTTCGAAGAGAACTCCAGAGCTGCCACATGGACGGGTTCCATGCCCAAGGCCTGATATCTAGGAAGCCTCACTCATGAAGTGGGCATTAAGTAATGAGTAAGAGTCTGGGTGCCTGGGTGGCCCAGTCGGTTAGGCGTCCAACTGCGGCTCAGGTCATGATCTCACAGTTCGTGAGTTCAAGCCCCACGTCGGACTCTGTGCTGACAGCTCAGGGCCTGGAGCCTGCTTCTGATTCTGTGTCTCCCTCCCCTCAGCAGCTCCCCTGCTCACACTCTGTCTCTCTCTCAAAATAAATAAAGATTTAAAAAAAATTTTAAGTAATGAGTAAGAGTCAATCACTCCTCTCCAGACTGCAATCCTGATTCGGTGTGGCAAACCCGAGGCTGTCCATGCATTATCCTCTTGAAGAATTCCCCAAAGTCAATGGACTGCAGTCATGCTAAGCCTGGGAGACTTCTGGACCCCTCTCTTCCTGACAAAGTCATGGGCAAGCAGCGGCATGGGCTTAAAATAAAATTTATGTATACCAACTTCAACATAGTTAGAAGCTAAGTCAAACTCAGCTTAAAGCCTACTGCTTTGTCTGATCTATACCAAAACCTTCCAGCTAAGAAAATCAGCCTGTGAGCAGACATTAATTTTAGTGAAAAGACAGGTCATGGCCCTAATAGTGGATCACACCTGCACAAATTCAAAAGGCTCCAGGCCTCCAGGTTCCCCGGAAAATAAAGGCTGTTTCCCTCCTGGGAAGTTGGGGAGTTAACCTAGAGCAGTATAGACAAAAAAAAATCTACTTTTCTGGCTGTGAGGACCCTCTTATGGCTCCTAAGGGACCAGAAGAGTCATTTCCTTCCAGCTAAGGCATCATTTCATCCCTTGTCTTGGTCACAAGCTGTGTTTCTACCAGGGCACAAGTGCTGCTGGCTGCAAGTTCTTAGAGAGAGCTACTGAGAGTGGTATCCCTGCTGGATACCTCCCTGGGGAACTTTCCAGGCAATGCTCTCTCTCTCTCTCTCACACACACACACACACACACACATACACACATACAGCTCAGGCCTGCAGGCCCCACCCAAGCTTTCCAGAGCAAAGACAGGATCCAGGGGTGGAAAGCCCTGTTGGGCTGGGAGAGACCCATTAGCAGTCTCACAGTGCAGCCTGCTGGGCATGAATGAAGGTGCAGCAGGAGGCAGGGGTGAGGGGTGCAGGGAAAGGTATCTTGCCTCCCCTCTGTCCACTTCTAACACCTGGGAAAGGGGCCTCAAACCCCAAATTTTCAGTTTAGGCTTGAAGGCCTTTGAAAGGGAAAAGATAGTAGTCCTGGGGCTTTCAAATGCACACAGATCTCCCACCCCACGAGCAACTGCTCGATGCTTTAGAACATTCCAAATAGTTGGCATGAAGGAGGAGCACTGCGGATCCACAGGAGGAACAGAAGATCAGTACTGAAAAGAAAGGAGCTGAGTGTCCAAGGAAACGGGCGGGAAATGCCTCCCGTAAGCCTCTGTATGAATTGTCATTTCCAACTTATAGAGGACTTCCTGCTTCCGCCAGGCTTTCAACACAAGCACATGGAGACAATTTCTACATGAGGCCCAAAGAGGGTGTGGTCCACGTTAGTAAGCAGCAATGGAACAACACTGACACAGTGTGGGGGCCAGCCAGGGGCTGGACTCTGCACAGGCCAGGTGGGTCCTGACAGGCGGTGGCAGGAAAGATGGAGAAGTTGCTGAAGAGAGATGGCCCTGAAGAAGCACCCACAGGACCTGGTGTCAGAGCAGGGAGTGGCAGGTGAGAAAGAGGGCCGCCAATAAAGAGGAAAAAGGAGGTGGCTTTGAATCGGGCAAGGTGAGCTGGGCCATTTGCAAGGCAATGTAACGGGAGTCCAGGGTGGTGCCTGCTGGGTGTGGATAGCTGTTTCCCACACCTTGCACCCTCTTTTCTCTCCATGACCCCTCTCACGCCCTGGTCTCGCTTACCTGTCTCTGCTTCCCCGCCTAGTACTCTGTTTGCCCCTAATGCCCCTGGCCCTTCCCTCTCTCCCACTACTGTCAATTTTTCCTTCCAGCAGCTCCTTGAAATTGGAGAGTTTCTTATACCACTGGGTGGACAGCAGCCCCCCCCCCCC